CTAACGTCAGCCAAAGTTTAAGGACCTGACGAATGTGTCAGGGTACAAACTGTTTTTGTACACCATGCAACCTCCTTGCAGGTTGTTGTTGTTTTTGTAGACATTCACATTTAACTTCTGATTTTGATCTAACAAAACTCATATTGGTTACTTTTGATTGCAATGAGCATAGTAACAATGTATTGCAATAATTCTTTGGCATTGTTTTAGCTATACAAGTCTTGCAACTTTTCTTGCAACTTTTGCTAATTTTTCTTGCAACTTTTTGCAATTTTTGATACTTTCAAATGCAACTTTCTCTGAGGACAGTCCAGTAGTACTTTACTCGTACTTTCTACACCCCCACACAAAATATCGACGTGCACTGGACCCGTTAAATATATGTATTAAGAACTGTCGTGTATGATGATAAAAAGTCAATTGCTACTGTGCCAGTGACGCTGTCCCAAGCAGATCAAGTCTATAATCAGATGCTATACAAAGCTGGACAAAGCACACAAGTTTCCGATAATTATATCATCAAATGTACTTCATCGCACTTCTCAGTTCTCAGAATTGAACACTGAACACTGTGTTGTAACAAAGTGGGGAAGTGTGTCAAATGCTAACTATAGAACTTGGTGTCTTGCTGGGGTGAGGTTGAAAAGGGGAGGGAAGGGAGGGGGTTTTCGGCCCAGACTCTGACAGCCGAGTGCCTATCGCTCCTCGTTAAAATTTTCCTTATATTAGACGATTCCTTCTTTCGCCGGCCAGACTCCTAAGGGCCAGGTAAGTTACTAGTGGGGAGAAAACGATGAGTAAATGCCAAACAGGAACTATAGGTGGTTAAAAGTCAATAAACAGACAAAATAAGTGCCATGCTGACAATAAATGTTCTGATAGTAGTTAGAGAAAGGCTGAATGATAAATACATGTTTTGCTGATAAAATAATACATGTATCTGTGCTGCTCAAGACAGTATCATTCTTGATTTTGTAAGCTACAAAGAGGCCAATCTGGCAATTAAGGGATGTACAAATCGCTCTCAGGGCTGACGATGGATTTGTCCATGGGACTGACGTCATCGCTAGGCCTAATATAAATCCCGCCTTGTGTTTGGCCTCGAACGTAGTACGAAGTTCCGCGACGTGACGGGAGACGATTTAAAGTTACGAGCCGGCGCGATAACAAACGTGAAGGAATGAGGTTATGTCGCGACAAAACAAAACAGCAGTGAATCCCACTTGTCTATTTGAGTGCCTTCAAATCGGCAAGGTGTTTTTGAATGTTGATACATGTTTGTTTGGATTTACTTAAAACTGAATGAAAATCGTCATCAGCAATAAACCTCTAGTCAACAGTTCAGTTGACAAAAATCTGACCGGCACCGCCGGTCTTGCCCAGTTAACAAACCGCCCCTGACTACTACTACTACTACTACTACTACTACTACTACTACTACTACTACTACTACTGCCTTGTTTGCTCGCAAATAACCCTGTTCTCCCGATCGATCAGTTTCCGTGAGAATGTAAACATTGAGATGCCATTTTTTGTGACCACAATTTTCTTTTTTCAAATTCAGCCACGGGGTGTTGGTGAGACCTCTAGATCTACTGTGTTAGTTATATATATATATATATATATATATATATATATATATATATATATATATATATATATATATATATATATATATATATATATATATATATATATATATATATATAACATTGTGTTAGGGTTTGATACTGTTGACATTGTTGTGTTCTCGTCAATTGCTTGACAATGCCTCGAATGGGGAAGAAGCGAGGGCCAGCTGCTATACGTGCAGCTACGAACAGTTGTCTGGCTAGGCTCAAGGAGGCGAAGGAGTCCACAGCTAGATCAATTTCTCAAGATGATGAAGCAGATTCAACAGCAACGTATCGGTCTAGATCTGTATCTAGGCCCCCCTCACATGTGCCATCATCGTCTTTAGACATTCCCTTATCAGACCCACCGCTTTCACTCCCACCCTTCACCTTTCCCCCCAAAGATGCGGCCCAAAAAGATTCGAACAAAAACTGGCCTTGTCTGCAGATAAAGAGGTGTGTACCGGTATGAGCAGCATGTAATTGGATAAAGATGAAAATGCATCTGGTAGGACCATCATTGATCTTCATATTATGATCACTTCTTTTGTGTCTTTATTTCGGTGCCGGTTCCAGACAGTGGTGGAAATGTGGTGTGCAGCATTAGTTCTAAGAAGTGTAAAGGATTTAGTGCATGCCTTGAAGCTTTTTGTCTCATATGTGACAATGTAGCTGCAACTACGTTTACATCTGACTGTGTGGACACACGATCAACGACTGGTCAGAGCACCTTAAGCCTACTGTAAATAATGATGTTGACATAGCGGCATTGAAGAGTTACATGGGCCCTCACAAACTGGTATACTTTATCGAGAATTTGAACATGCCCTCAGTGTGCAAGACAGGTTTCCAGAAGAAAGCCTCAGCTTTATAATCTTTTTACAACATTGCTGCTGACGCTCTGTTTTTAAGGGCTGCAAAGCAAGTTAGAGCTAAACACAGAGAACTCTTCGGGGAGGAGGTTGAAGACGGAGACTCGGCAATGAACATCGCAGTGTCCTTCGATGGCACATGGATGACGCAAGGCCACTCATCTCTCGTGGGTATCGGCGGCGTCATTGATGCACTGACAGGACTTGTCATTGATGCACACGTCATGAATTATCACTGTCAGACGTGTGCAACTTCTGGAAAGTTCCAGAAGTCCGTGAACCCGACAACCTACCCCAAGTGGCTGGACTGGAAGACCATAGAGCAGGAGGCTGCACCATCAATTATCAAGGTAAATAAGTTTATTAAATTGAAAACCTGCCCCTTTGTTATTCTTTTTTGCCTTATCCCTTCTGTTTTCAGGCTTGCTCAGTTGTGCTATTTAAATCCAATTGCTCAGTTGGCGTTGGCGTATAGATCTAGATCTGGTGTTGACACGAAAGAGGTTAGTCATAGTCATAAAATACCAGATCTGAAACAAACATCCGCGATTAGGGTTTTCCAGTCATTCGTTTCCTCGGATGCTCTAAAAAAAACCTCTGTATATTCATTTATCTGCTCAGGCTATCTTAATAAGTTTTCCATCGTCTACCTTTGCCTCGTTTGCCTTAATTTTTTTTCAGTGAAAGCAAGATGTAGGCTATGTTGATCTATTCATGTCCTTTTATCACGTAGAGTGTCCCAGAAACTGCTATTGTTGCTTCCTAATTAGCCCTTTTATGAAACAGTGAGCGGCCTGCGTGGGTGTCTTTCAACACTTTCTCGTTTTATTTTTTTTCTGGGCATAACATTCTAAAAAGTCTCTTAGATCTACTAGATCTAGATGTGGACCTAAGTCTGAAAA